CAATTTTTTAAAATTAAACACTATCTAAAGATTTGCATCGAAGCGTTTTTTTTTGATAGTGATTTTAATCACTGTCAGATATCATTATACTTGATCCAACTATGCCACGTCACCACTGTGCCGCGACCCCCCTGTGCTGGGTTTTTTTATATATATTTGCCACGAAATATACAATTACTTTATAAGTTTTTATGATTCATCCGTAAAAATTACAATACTAAATTATTAAATATCAATTTCATACTATATTTAATTGCTATAATAAATATTTATTTATATATTATACTTGTAAATCAAATAACGACTAATCAGAAATAAAGAAGACAATAGGAGTTCATTTTGTTTTTAGAATAATCCATCAATTTTTTTAAAAAATTAAACACTATCTACAGATTGTATCGAAGCGTTTCTTATGATAGTTATTTTAATAACTGTCAGATACTATATCTATACTTGTCCCAACTGTGCCACGTTCATACTGTACCGCAACCCCACTATGCTACAGTTTTTTTTTTTTTTTTTTTATGCGGCTATTAACTAAGTAAAAGATGATTAATTTTCCACCATAAATATCCAATAAATATTCATTACTTCGAAATATTTAAAGTTTGATTAAATAATTTTAAATAGATTATCTAGTTCTGTTTTTTTTTTAAAGAATATATTCTCCAGTAATAATCTGCAAAAGAATACTGTCAAGAATACTCTGTTACCAAGTATATTATTTTGTTACATAACAACTCTCAAAATTTCATGGTGGTTCGGATCACGTTTAGATGACTTCTTTTTCTACTATTTAAAATCCTATACTTTAAATATTTTAGGAACCTGTTTATAAGTCTGGTTCCCAAATCTGTGCGATGGGCAAATATGAATAATTATTAATCTTAAGATAATTGCTAAAAAATAAATACATAACTATTTTAAGTAATAAATTCAATATAATTACCCTAAATGCATCTCTGAGTTCTTTCTCTTCTTGATCTGCAGTTTTTTCCGCAGTTCCACCCATATTATAAACTATTTCCACAAACTCCTGAAAGCTAAACGCTCCATCTCCTATAAATATTGTATGTATAGAGTAATAAATTTATTTTTAACCATTGAACTTCTCATAAATAAATTATAATTATCATAATAATTGTTGAGAATTTTGAATTCTTTGGATTTCTGTTTTATATTATTTCCATTTATCTATTATTATGTATATTTTAAAAATTTATATTTATTTTTATCGACAACCTGCCTCGGTTTCTAAACGGCTATTGGCTATATTAATTTAAAAAATTGCTTAATTACATGTTTTTATAGATATATTTCTATATCCTTACCACAAATCCAACATAAGCTTCGATGAGAAACTGAAAATTTAATAACTTTACAAAGTTTTGTATATTTTTTTTTTGTGTCTGTTATCAATTTTTTCAGCTCAAACGTGACCGATTTTTTTCAATAATACGTTGAAAGTTCACTAATCTTATCTATTGAAGACATTATCATAACCACTAAAATAATTTTCCTCATTCTCCTTAAATAGGAAATCCTCAGAAATAAAAAACGCAGCACAGTGGAGTGGGTGCAAAATTGGGAAGTATTGATAATATCTGACAGTTATTAATATCACTAACATGAAATGCAAATCTGTCGAATAATTTGTATAATTGTGTGATGGTGTCACGTTTTCATAATCGTGAGAATTATTTTAATAAAATACAGACAGCACATCCGCTGCCTGAGACTGATGAATTAACAAATAATATTTATTGCCAAATCGGCAATAGTTGTAATTATTATAAAAACCCAATAGACCTGACCATCGTGGTCAGTCGACTCCAGTGCCTTGTGTCATTCATCAGTCTCAGTACTCGGTTGTCGCTGTCCGGCTTACTGTTTAAAGTAAAGTCTTTGTTTATTCCTTTTCTAACCTATATACTCTTTTCTTCGACATTTCAGAGTACTTGTGCCTTGTACTTCGTCTGCACCTCGTACTCTGTTATTTTTCCTCACCTGGTACGCCTAGTATTTGTGTCTTGCACTTCGTCTGCACCTTATATTCGGCTACCCCGTTCTCTCTTTGAAATACTTGTGTCTTGCACTTCGTCTGCACCTCGTACTCCATTATCCTCTCCTAATAACTAAAGTACTTGTGTCTTGCACTTCGTCTGCACCTCGTACTTTGTTATCTTTCCTCACCTGGTACGCCTAGTATTTGTGTCTTGCACTTCGTCTGCACCTTATACTCGGCTACCCCGTTCTCTCTTTGAAGTACTTGTGTCTTGCACTTCGTCTGCACCTCGTACTTCATTATCCTCTCCTAATAACTAAAGTACTTGTGTCTTGCACTTCGTCTGCACCTCGTACTTTGTTATACTCCTTATCTGGTACGCCCAGTATTTGTGTCTTGCACTTCGTCTGCACCTTATACTCGGCTACCCCGTTCTCTCTTTGAAGTACTTGTGTCTTGCACTTCGTCTGCACCTCGTACTTCATTATCCTCTCCTAATAACTAAAGTACTTGTGTCTTGCACTTCGTCTGCACCTCGTACTTTGTTATACTCCTTATCTGGTACGCCCAGTATTTGTGTCTTGCACTTCGTCTGCACCTTATACTCGGCTACCCCGTTCTCTCTTTGAAGTACTTGTGTCTTGCACTTCGTCTGCACCTCGTACTTCATTATCCTCTCCTAATAACTAAAGTACTTGTGTCTTGCACTTCGTCTGCACCTCGTACTTTGTTATACTCCTTATCTGGTACGCCCAGTATTTGTGTCTTGCACTTCGTCTGCACCTTATACTCGGCTACCCCGTTCTCTCTTTGAAGTACTTGTGTCTTGCACTTCGTCTGCACCTCGTACTTCATTGTCCTCTCCTATACCCCAAGTATTTGTGTCTTGCACTTCGTCTGCACCTCATACTTTGGGCTCCTTTTGCGTACACCTGGTATTTGTGTCTTGCACTTCGTCTGCACCTCATACTTAGGTGTTACTCTTATTCTCCCTTCCTATAACAACAGCCTTTCGACACCCACAGCTAACCCAGAGTGTCAGCCGAGCACGGTGACTGCTGTACGACAATACGCACGTGAATACCTAGACAGCAGGCACCACATCATTCTCATCCTACTCTTCTTATTCGTTTCATTTTACTGTGTTACGACAATTGTAATTTGATAATTCTACAATTTTTTTTTTTTTACTAAAGTATTAAATGTTTGTTAAATTGCACAATGTACATTGGAAATATTTGTAATTTTCTAGCCTATACTCTTATTTTAAACAGTCAATTACAGTCCTGCGGAAACATAAAGTACAAAATACCCATTAATACTCTTACCTCTATGTTCTTTTAAATCTTGTTTACATATTAATATATGTTTATAATGTCATCTGAATTTTCTAACAACAATCTTTAAAGAAAAATATGTGCGTAAGTAGTTACTTTCAAGCCTATCCTGTACTCTTAAGTCAATCAATTTTCACAAAAAGAATATCAAAAGAAAAAATAATTGTCTCTTGTATATATCATTAAATTTTAATTAGGATTAGTGTTTAAAAAAAGGTTATAGTATTTTTACAACGTAGAAAATTTGTTTGAAAATGCCATTTTTTATGGTAATGTAATTTTGTGAATTAAATTTTAAATTTCTAAAAATGTGGAGTTTTTCAATTTCTCGTAACGATAGGTTCAATTAGATAAAAACCACGTTCTGATGATGTACAAATCAACAAAATCAGTCCTATGAGAGCTGAGAATGTTCATAAACAGACATAAAAAAAATTATATCATCGTAAAATCAGTCTTTTCAATTTTGTATCAAAGCTAAAACCATTTTTGAATTTGGAAAATTTTGGCTTTAATAATAACATAACGTTTAAAAAATGAATCAAAACAAAATTGTATTGTAATTCGTCTTAAAAATGTACTTTAAATTGGGGGACATATATATATTATTTTTAAAATTGAGCCCTTAGTTGCCTATCAGAGGGTTTGAAATAGTATTCATTTTGAAAATTAGATTGAAAAATTCAACTTAACTTTTGAAAATATTTTATGAAACCTGACATTATTACATGTATTTTAAATTAAAACTAATGTAATATAAATTACTTTACAAAAATTGTCCTTAGTACTTGACTTTTATGCATAAATAGACGTTAAAATTAAAGATAAAGTACGCATTTTATGTATAAATGACAAAAATCAGATAAATAAAATTGTTTACACAAATTTGTTTAAAACGATTTTTAAGAAGTTAGTGTCTACTCGATTGACATATTAATATGGGGGCTTAAAGACGAATCCACCCAGAATATTTTTTTCAACATTTTATTTATATAAATTCCCATCGAATTTCAGTCAAACAGACATGGTACCTGATTAATATTGTTGTTCTGTGTTAATTGCTAGTGTTTTGTCATTACTCAATCGGTAATGAAATTACGACGACAATCATTATTAATCGCTAATACTAAATAAATATTTAGTATTAAAATAAGATTTTATTACTTCAGATGGGATAACCAACTGCACCAGTAAACTGATATCTTAAATTTTTTGCTTAAGCTCTGGTATGCATATTTTTTAAAATTATATTCATATTCTTCATTTGATTACAAGTAAAGGTATTTTGAGGGCAATACATAAGTATACGCTGTATACCTAGTTTCGATTTTAAAAATTAACTTATACCTTGTAATAATACTATAAATATGCACATATACGTTATTATGCAGGGTGGGTGTTCAGTATATAAGGAAACCGGTCAATTTTACCAACAACGAGAACAATATATACCAGTTTCCTTACTTACTGAATACTCTATATGTTCATATATCTTTAAATAAAAAAAATACTGCCCCTTCTTCATTTTCTACATTTAACAAGTAATTATTTTTATTAACACTACATCTTTCCTTTGAGTATAGAAATTAAATGAAATACCTATATTTTAAAATTTAAAAATAGCGAGTCATTAACAGAGTGTATACGCTTTATGGTGTTACTTCGAACATTCAACTGATTTCAAGTAATAAACTAAGAAAAATACTGACCATCAATATCAACTTCTTGTAACATTGTTTCTAATTCTTCTTCTCTAGCAAATTGTCCTAAGCTTCGCATAACTCGTCCTAATTCTTCTTTCGTAATACTTCCGTCGCCATCTTTATCAAATAATCTAAAAGCTTCTTGAAACTCTAAATTTTAATATGTATTTAATTAATAATTTTTGTACTTAATATTGTTGAATATTCAAGTTAAATATTTAATTTCATAAATACTATTGTGATAACAATAACCTTATTGTTAATATCATTATAATTACGTACTTACCTTTCATTTGAGCTTTCGTAACATGCACTACGCTTCTCTCGCCTGGCTGAATTATTTGGGGGCAGGTAAGTACTTCTAATGAATTATTTTTAGTATTTTTTGTATTAGGATTTGTGCAATGTGTTATATTTTTAGAATTAGTTCTTATTGATTTTGAGGAATCAACGTTGGGTGTTGATTGTCGCGGTTCATCAACTTGTCGATTCTACGCAAATACACAAAAAGTAATATATCGTGAAACATTCTACATAATAAAATTCCCAGTACTCCAACTTTTTTTATTTTAATAAATCAAATGTATAATAATAGGCTGGATTAAAATTATCGATTAAAAAAAAATCGTATTAAATAAAAAACATTAAAATTTGGATTCTGAATGTTTAAAATTAAAAAAATTTTTTTTGTTGTAAATGTATCTTTATGTAATACAAATATTTGTTCGTTATGTTTATGTTAGGCAGAATTTATGAGACCCATAATTAAATGAGTCGATGACACGGGAAAAGTACTAAGTCCCAAAAAATCAAATTTTGTTTTTTTTCATGAAAAATATACTAAATACATATCCTTATAATCTGATTTAAAAAATTAATCAAATTTATGTATAAAAGAAGAATTTTATAAAAAACAAAAAGACGCTTTTCTAAAGATAATGTGGTTCATATAAAATATTTTTTCTTCTCCCGTAAATTTTAGTTTTTGTAACTTAGTACTTTTTCCACGTCAGCGCCATTTAATTTCTCACATATTACTTTTATGGGACTATTATCTAATTTATTATATCATTATATTAAATGAAACTATAAAGTAATCATTGTTACAAAGAGAAATGAGCATGAAATCCGTTTGTAACGGTTTAATTTTTCGCTTGCCCCTTCCTATTTAAGATATTTCCATTTTCCAAAAACTTCTACAAGTGTAATTAACGACATTGGTATACTAAGATTTATTTTGTTATAATGCTTTGGGTTAATTCTAATTACAATCAATCAAATCTATTTATAGCAATGTGTAACACGTATATTTAACTATTGCAAAATATTGATAAAAATAATTTTGTGTAGTATTTTAATACATTTTATTATTTTTTATACTAATTAAAAAATTATTTCATCAAAAAATTCTAATAACTTAAATACAAATAACAATACACACAAATTATAGAAGAGACTGGAAAATAGTGTAAGGATTGAATAAGAAGCGTAAAAAGGAGTCACCATCGGCTATTATATGCCTCTGTAAAATGAAAATAGTCTTCCTACACTAGACTACCGAGATAAAAAATGTAAAAACATCTTTAATCATGTTTTTTATGGTAGATACCACAGGTTTTTTGCTTTGTTGCTGTTTTTTTTTACCCCTCTGTACATAAATGGATCAACCAAGTTGCTGCTATTTCTTATGTACTTTGTATTTTTGTTGCTTAATCGGAAACGGCTAGCTGTTTTGCTGTCAGGCGTTGAATATAGCTGGTGGTGGACCGACACGTTTGGAGAACAACATCAATCAGCTATAAGCAACCCCCTTTATCATATTTATTGTTTCTATTTTGTTAAATACTGTTTCTAATCTAATAATATGACACTTTCTAGTCTTTTTTTTATATATGTCCGAATGAAAGAATAAAATTATTAAATTAGTATATACTCTTATATTGTATATACTGTATATTGGATCTTATTATAACCTAATTTATATGTTGAAACTTTTTTTTTCCATTATTGTCTTTGTATATTCAAAGAAAATTGTTAAATTATCAACGTGTAATTGATATTTGATAAACTTATCGGAAATTAGAGTACCAAAATTCAAAAAATTGGTTCAGGATAAATGGTGCAATTTTTTCATTAAAGTGCATTATTTTATATATTTAGATTAAACATCATAATATTAATGTTTCATTTCAACACATAAAATAAACATATTTAAATAAACGTAATAATATTAAGTACATTTTCTATTTAAAATAATTGATTACTATTTATTTTAAAATATATATTAAAAAGAAACGGTAGCACAGTGGGGTCGAGGCACAGTGTAGACAAGGCATAGATGGGACAAGTATAGATGATATTTGGCAATGATTAAAATCACTATCATAAAAACGCTTCGATGCAAATCTGTAGATAGTGTTTCATTTAGAGAAATTGGTGGATTATTCCAAAAGCAACATCAACTCTTATTTCTTTAATTATATACTGATTAGTAGTTCTTTGATTTTAAAATATAATATATGAATAACTAATTATAGTTATTAAATTTAGTATGAAATTGATATTCAATAATTTAATATTGTAATTTATACGGAGAAATTATAGAAATAATAAAGAAGTTATATTTTGCTTTACTTTTTCGTGTATAAAAATTTAAAGGGCTTGATACAATAAATTTCAATAAAAACTGTTTGTTACTATAAATAAATGCACTGAACTACAAAGAACTTTCATCAGAAGCAAAAATATACTTTTCTAAATCAATTTTTCGGTTGTTTTCAAATCTGCAATAAGACTTTTTCTATAACTTCTAATTTTTTATATTATTACTAATTACATATAAAAAAAAATTTGTTTTAAAATTATTACTGATTTGATTTTTAATATGTTAAAAAATAATCAGTCCAAATTTTCATTTTTAACCTATTTTTTTGGTTCTTTAAAGTTGATGAAAAATTTTTGATAAAGTTTTGTGAAAGTTTATAGCAAAAAAAATTGAATATGTTACCATAACTTTTAGCTCAATTACAAGTTTGAAATTGACATCACTAAATAGAAAATTTTATGAGAATTAAAACAATGTTATTTTTAAGATTAATATGCAGTCAGGAAATTTTATAATTACTATTTAAAGTATATTTATCAGAAAAACTCATTAATTATTTGCATTTTTATCATAATAGAACACTTAAATAGAAATTATAGTAATCATTTCTTAGTAACTTTTGGTATTTAAAAAGATTCTACAATTGAAGAAATATCCAGAACTGAATTAATTTTAATGATTTACTTTTACTAAAAAAAAAAAAAGTTATCATTTTGAATCCCTCTTGTGAGCAGGTAAAGGGTTAGATTTATAAAAAAAAACTAAATGATAGACATGCATCTAAATAAAAAAAAATTATACTGATTTGGTCATTTTTGATAAAGTTATAACAGTTAACAAAGTTATAAGTTTTATACATTGGACTACAAGGAACTTTATCAGAAACAAAAATATTATATTCTAAATCAACTTTTCGCGATGTGTTTCAAATGTGCAATTAGACTTTTTAACCAATATTATTAAAAAATAGCCCAGAGGTCAATATTTTTTTTCAAATTAAATTAAATTACATTAGCTTTAATTTAAGGTATTTATAAAAGTGTTAGTATTTCCGGAATATTTTCAAAATTTAAGTTGAAAAAGTTAATTTTTTGTAAAAAAGTTACTATTTTGAAACCCTTCCTGTGGGCTTGTAAAGGGTCAAATGTTCACAAAAATATATAAAATGATAGGTGAATACCTAAGGTATCTATAAAAAAAAAATTATATTGATTCGGTCATTTTTAAAAAAATTATGGCAATTTTAAGTAAAAAAAATTGAAAAAATATTGAAAGTTAGCGATTTTTAAATTTGTAATTATTTGAAACTATCAAATAAGTACTGTAGATCACTATAATTGACATTAACTATAATCACACATTAATACTCTTTACTCACACTTCTAATTTTCTATAAGAGACATCAACTCTCTCTTCAATGATTTTAGTATTACAAAGAATTTAACATTCAATGGAATATTAAAGAAAAAATAAGTCTTTCTTATACAAAGAAATCTGCTACTTAATAATTAACTAGCAGATAATAATAATAGTAGTAGCAGGCACATAGACATGGGTGGGCCTGGCCCCCCTTAGATTTAATGTGGCCCAGGGCAGGCCCCCCCAAATTTAAAATTCAATTATTTTTACGAATTATCAAAAACGTGCTAGGCTTTAAATACATTGAAATTATTATTAATTTGTGATTTCTATTGAGTAATACAGTTATTATTATGGCTGTATTTTCATTTTTATATTCATAGAAAACGTTATTTGAAAATGATAACTTTCTAGACATAATAATAATTGGAATAGCAGTTACTCCAAACGTGGTTGTAGATAAATTTTTTTTAACTCTAGTCCAACAAATGATAACAAACTACCAAGTATCTGCATTGATTAGAATCTAGTTGATTACAAAATTCGATAGAGTATACTCCATGAAAAATTTTTTGATAAATCTTATCTTTAATTTGTTTCTTTTTTTATAATTTAGTAGTTACAATAGGTAATTTATTTGTTTTTGTTAATTTGTTATTTGCGTGCTCTAAATAATAGTAATAAAAATATGACTAAAAAAAGGCAGGAATTGTTTTTAATTTTAAATAAAATAAATTTTAATTGTTTATAAATTATATTTATTTTAAAAATGTTCATAACTTATTTGTTATTAGTATTTAGGTATAAATTATTTTTTCTTAATAGCTTAAAAGTTAAAAATAAAAGTTGAAAAATTAAATCAGCTTATGTTCACATCATTATTTTATTAGCTTCGATGCGAAGCTGAGAAGGTATTGGTTTTACTATGATGTGTTTTTTTATTTTTTTTTTGTGTCTGTTACCACTTTTTCTCAGTCTCACAAAACCGATTTCAGTGATACATCAAAAGATCGCAAATCGTATCTAGCCGAAGACATTTCCCTCAAAAATTGAATAAATTTCCTTCATTCCCCGTCAATGGGGGAAACCCCCCAAAAAATTACAAATTTAAAAATCGCTAATTTTCGAAATTTTTTCAATTTTTTTTACTTAAAATTGCCATAACTTTTTTATATAGATGCGTGATATCATTACTTTTCATTTGATATATTTTTTTTATAAATCTGACCCTTTACCTGACCACGGGGGGGATTTAAAATGACAACTTTTTCACAAAAAATTAACTTCTTCCACTTTAATTTTTAAAATGTTCCGGAAAGTTTGACACTTTTATCTATATCGTAAATTAAAGCTAATGTAATGTACTTTTTTATTTATTTTGTCTTCACGGTGTAAATGGCTACCGAAGCTATTTTTGTGTGAAAATTCTCGATTTTGCATTTTACATTTTTTACTTTATAATGTTATAACTTTTTGAAAAATGTATGGATCTACAATTTTTTTATGAGAAATAATATTTTTTAATAATTCCTTTTTCATTTGATATACTTTATCTTAATCAGGATATTAATAAAGAAATAGCAGATCATGTAACTTTTGGAATAATCCACCAATTTTTTAAAAATAAAAACAAATTTTGAACTTGTAAGATTCATAGAATGGGATACTGTTGTGATGGTGTCACGTTTTCATAATCGTGAGAATTATTTTAATAAAATACAGACAGCACATCCGCTGCCTGAGACTGATGAATTAACAAATAATATTTATTGCCAAATCGGCAATAGGTGTAATTATTATAAAAACCCAATAGACATGACCATCGTGGTCAGTCGACTCCAGTGCCTTGTGTCATTCATCAGTCTCAGTACTCGGTTGTCGCTGTCCGGCTTACTGTTTAAAGTAAAGTCTTTGTTTATTCCTTTTCTAACCTATATACTCTTTTCCTCGACATTTCAGAGTACTTGTGTCTTGCACTTCGTCTGCACCTCGTACTCTGTTATCTTTCCTCACCTGGTACGCCTAGTATTTGTGTCTTGCACTTCGTCTGCACCTCATACTTTGGGCTCCTTTTGCGTACACCTGGTATTTGTGTCTTGCACTTCGTCTGCACCTCATACCTAGGTGTTACTCTTATTCTCCCTTCCTATAACAACAGCCTCTCGACACCCACAGCTAACCCGGAGTGTCAGCCGAGCACGGTGACTTCAGTACGACAACACGCACGTGAATACCTAGACAGCAGGCACCACCTCCTCATATTCATCTTCGTACACATAGTTTCACATTTACCTTTTATCATTTTCTTTACTGTGTTACGACAATAGATACAACCACGATCCTGTAACTATCGCTCTGAAGNCTGTCTAAGGAGGTGTGAAGGGAGCCCCCCCCCCAAAAGCTTTTCATGGGAAACAAATTATGGAAAATGATACAAGGGCCCAAAATATTTGGCCCCTCCAATAAACATCTTCTGGCTACGTGCCTGAGTAGTAGTAGTAGTTTTCTTTCCTTTTCACTGTTGGCTTATTAAAATATTACCTTTTCTTCAATTAAAGAGTATCATTATGTAAAAATAGCGTCAATAGTATAAAAATACAATAAAATAATTTGAAGGTCAAATTATTAAGATTATTTTGTAACTATTTAGTATTATATGTACGATTGCTTTATACACAATTTTGTAAACATATAAATAGCCCCCATCAATAACAATAAAATTATTTGATGAAAGGATAGGCCATAATCCAGAATATAATTTTAAAGAAAGAAGATCTAAAATAAAATTGTTCATTTTTATAATTATTTTTTTTTTTTTTAAATTATAATGGTTATTTTATTTTAAGTTTTTGTGAATATAAAAAATCTGGAAACCTTGATGTAAATTAAGGTTAACACTTATTACCTCATAATGAATATTTTCAAATTTTATAAAGCAAAATATTGTTTGAACCAAAAAAATCTACAAGTTTACAAGTAGTTTAATAATTTTATTCAACTCTGCTGAGATAAAAATATAAACTTTAATATTCTTTAATGGAAATCCCTATTTTTAGTTTCATGATTTTGTTCTTATAATTTTTTTTATTCGATCAACCAATAGCGTTTTAAAATAGTTTACAGATTTAAAATAGAAATTCGTTATTAATTAGGTTTTTATAATACTGGAGGCATAGATAATATGTTTCAATGGCCATAAATTATTATCAGTATTTATTCTAGCTATCGTAAATGTCAGATATGAATTGTCAATAAAAACTTGTGTGACAGCATGAAAAAGTGATGATTATTAAATGCTAAATAACAAGTTATATAATAAAAACTGGCATTATATTATAAAAAATCTTATTTTATAAAAAAAAAACAGTAGCACAGTGTGAGGGTTGCATAGTGGGACTAGTATAGATAATATCTGACAGTGATTAAAATCACTATCATAAGAAACGATTCGATGCAAATCTGTAGTGTCAAATTTTAAGAAATTGGTGGATTATTCAAATGCAAAATTTTAACTCAAAAATTGTAAAAAAATCATTGCCACAGGCAATGATTTTTACTGAATCGACAACGTTCGTCGCATTCGTTTTTTGATAAAATTGGCAATTTAAGCTGATTCAAATGTTAAAATTAATTTTTTCGACTTAAAAGAAAAAAAATTGAAATAAGTTTAATTTTATATTCAATGTCCATTATTAGCTTCGATGCGAAGCGGAGAAGGTATTAATTTTACTATGATGTGTTTTTTTTTTTTTTTTTTTTTTTTTTTTTTGGTTTTTCA